TTATGTTTTTTTTCCTTTCCCTCATTTTCAGCCTTTCTTCTGTACTTGCTACTCTTTCTGGAAGTGTTAACATTTTTTTTTCTGGGCTCTCTGGGAGACTCTTATAGCAGCTAAGCTTCAGGGACAAGCCTGTTTATGTCCCCCCAAGCCAAGATAGGGTGGCTGACCCCATGGTTGGATAGCATTCTGAAAAACTGTGTGCCTAAGAAAATAACTAAGAGACATTTTCAAAATATCATTTCCCAGCGCTGATGAAGTTGGTTTTCTGAAGGGTAAGCGAGAGTTGAAGACCATCTCTTCAGCACCGAACAAATCAGAAAGAGGAGGGGAGAGAGTCAGAAGAACTTGCTTTAAATTGACTGTAAGGGCATTCTACTCCCCCTTGTCTTGTTTTTTTTTGGAATTTTTCATGTAGTTTTCAAGAAGGGGCCATGTTTAGCTCTTCAGCTGCACACTTCTTTCCCTCTTTCTTAATAAATTAAAGATGGTCCATGGACGTTTCAAATGTCAGGTCCTATAGCAGGCAAATGCCTTATTGCGTGCAATTTTTGTAAAGGCAACACTTTCTAACTTTAAAACGTAAGTGTAAGGGGCACAGGGCAGCAACGGGATGTCCAGGAAGAGCCCCAGTGAGGTCCCAGCATTGATAGTGCAGCAGAGCCCAGGGGCCTCACCCCAGACCAACGATTCTTTGCAATGAATGCCTCCTTGTAAAATTGTATGGATAAAGGGATTTACCGAGTGACTCACTGTGTCACACTGCAGCTCCCATGACAAGACTTTCCGCTTCTTCCTCCTCCCTTTTCTCTTACATTTTACCTTGGTTTTTTTTTGGGGGGGGGGAGGGATGGGTGGGATTGGGAGGCATGATGTGAAAGACAAAAAGTCAAAAAATAGGTGTAAGGATAAATCCTGTTGATAATTTTCATTATATCTCCCTAGAGATTCTCCTACTAAATAAAAATGATGGGATCGGTCTTTTTGATGTTTCCCTGGAGGTGGAGAGGGCAAAGAGAAGTTATGCATGTCTAGAAGTGTTTTTTTTAAATAATTTCTTATTCATTCTTTGAGAATTTCATACAATGTATTTTGAACCTATTTACCCTCTTGACTGCTCCCCTTACCACATTCAAAAGCCTCTCCTCCTTTCCTATCCAACTTTGAGATTATTTATTTACTCTCCTTCTTTCCCTACCGAGTGCAGTTTGTGTTGCACAAAACCTGCGTGGACTTTAGATAAAAATCCCAACCCAGAGGGCAGGAGGTGTAATCCCAGCACCAGCTGAGGAACCATTAACACACATGTTGTTTGTTTCAACATTTAAATTAAATGCTTGTATCCAAATGGCACTGCAGCACTACAGAAGGGAGCACAATTAAAAAAAAAATCCTATTTGTGAATGCAGAACTGGCATCTGTACTCACCAAAGGCACGTTTAATCACTCCCATTCCCTTTGGATATGAAGTAATTTACCTTGCCCGATGCAGGGAAGCTTATCGACTATAAACACGGGCCCAGTGGCTTTGGATTCCTTAGCTCCTTTTCTGCCCCACTGTTAGATACTTATTGCCAGATTTCCAGTTGGAAGCAGTGCCAAATAACAGGCTAAGACTTTCAGTTAGAAGGAAATGGTGGGTTTTCCTTAGTCATGTTGACAAAAAGTGAGACAGATGCGAAGAGTCAAGTTATCAGTTAGACAGCATCACCTGTAATCTAGCTCTCTCAGCTGCTTATGAGAGGCAGAATATGTCACGTTGCATCAATTAAAAACTGTCTGGCAATCAAGACCTCTTGCCTTTGCATTGACATGAAGTAGAGATCTACACTGGGCAAAGGGAGGCCTCCTTGAATGTTTACACTTCATTTCCTTAGCGTTAATGACAGGCTGGTCGAACAATGCTGATGACACTCATCGTTATCCTAAATTTCATCTAAATGGAATGATGGGACGTATAATACACTTTTATACTTCTGGTTTCTGTTGACATTCTTTTACATGTATTCTAGTAGATGTTCACACTCTGTAATTTGGATATGTACTTACTAGTAAAACTACAGGTTCATGAGATAGACATAGACTTAGCTTTAGTAGTTACTGTCTAGTATTTTCCAAAGTAGTTGTAACGAGCCAGTACTTTCACCTGCAATGTATGTGAGTTCCAGTGGATCCATTGTTCTGTTTCTTATTATCAGTCCTTTCAGATATACTGTTCTGGTGGGGTTTGATATATCTCAGTGTGGACTGGATTTGCATTTCTCTGATGAGTAATACTGATAAATGCCTATTTGTGTACTTGTAGGTCATATAGATAGCCTCTTCTCTGAAATAGTAGTTAATTTCTTTTGTCTTTTCTTGGCATTTGCATTGTCTTGTTCTTATTGATTTATAGGAATTTAAAATATATGCCTAGAGTGGGTAGGTATAAACCTTCTATTGGGAATACTTTCTGAATATTTTCCTACTCTATTATTGATCTTTTTACTCTCAAGTTATCTTTTGATAGATAAAAGCTCCTATTTTAATGAAAATAATAATTAGCTAATTTGGGGCATATGTGGTAAATCTTTGCTTTTCTAAGATCATGAAGGTTTTCTCTTATGGTTTGAGCTACATATTTGCTTTATCTTTCAGATTTAAGTCTACTATCCATTTCAAATTAGTTTTTAGTATTTGATGTATGATCACGGTCATGGTTCCATTGGTTTGTCTGTCTGCATATCAGTACTATGTCTGTAGCCATAAATTTAGCCTTGATATTTAAAATTTTTTATTTATGTTAACATGTAATACACATATTCATGGTATATGGCATAGTATTTCTGTAATTGCATACAATATGCACTAATAGAATCAGGGTAATTAACATGTGTTTCTTTAAGATTGGCATCTTTGAGTTCCTATCTTCTAGTTACTAAGAAAATATACAGTTTGTTATTGTGAACCTACTGTGTCATAGAAATCCAGAACATAGTCCTCCTATTTAACTTCATTTTGGTACCTATTATCAAACCTCCCTTTATCCTCCTTCCATGTGGCCCTTCCAAGTTTCTAGTAGTCAGTATTCTGCACTCAAATTGACAAATTTTAGCTTCCACATATGAGAGAGAATGTGCAACGTTTGCCTTCCTATGCTTCAGGTTTGATATCTGGTAGTATACATCTTCTAGTCTTGTTCCTTATGAGTTCCGGTTCTTTATATATGTTTATATGTTTTAGAATAATTTTGCTCAACGTGTCCTTCAAAAGTAGTATGGAGCTTATTGATTCATTGGCCTCTTCTATGTCCCTCTAACCTCAAAATCTAGGTGTCTTTTTGAGGAGGAGACCAGCAGTGTGTTTGTGGCAATACCCAGCCCTGTTGTGAGAACTTCCTGCCTAGGGGTCAGCCTGGATCTCAACCAATTTCAGGTAAGAAAAACTGGCCCTGCATACCTCAAGTTTCCATTCCATTCTGTTAATCTCCTACAGCTTCTAACAGCTATGCTGGCATTTCTCATTCCCTGGTAGAGACCTTCTGCCTTTGGACTAGGTTTATTGTCAACCTGTGCCCAGAATTAGCAAATGCCACAGAAAATGCATGCTACCATCAGGTCACATTAGGAAGGTCTCTTTGCATTTTGTTTCCACCCCTTTTTGATATCCTTAAACCTACTGATTTTGTAATTTATCTCCTTTTTCTTTTCTCTGTGTGTACGAATTATATTTTTTTGGTTGTTGCAGGATCATCTGCAGTCTATTTGAAAGCAGAACTTCAGAAATCATTTTCTAGGCACAGCTGTAACCCTTTGGTTCATCTTGGCTCTCTTACAGGTGAGTAGCTTTCAATAGTTTAGATAAATTCAGCACATCAGAGGAGGGGGAGCAAATGGACACATCTCTGAACCTCCATGAAACAATTGATAATGGCATGGGCCCCATAGGAGACTGATCCACTTCTCTCCATCAGTTTGTGTTAGCCACATTCAATTAACAGTTTAACCAGTTTCTAGGGATATCAAGTGTAAGGAACATTCTCAGTTCTATTCCTATTTCGGAGAATGAGATGTCAGCTCTGGACCCATTGAAGCAAACATGTTAGTATAGACACCCAAATGTGTGTCCTTTGACATAGATCTTTGGAAGTTAGTTCTGGGCTGACTTCTATTCTGCACCATGTGGCTGGTCATAAGTAAAATAGTTAATACCTATGATTCTCAATGTTCCCAATCATAACTTCATATAGTTATTTTATTGTAAGTATTAAACACTAAAATGTAAAGTTGATTTCTTGATGTTTTGTATGTAATAGGCCTTCCTTCCACAAATTTGAGAATTTTTTACAATACTAGGGGCATGCCATCTCATCTACTATGTGCTTTTCAGGTAGGGGATTGATTATGTTTGGTTACTTTAGGAGGGGTGACACACAGTGAAAAGCACACTAGTGATCAATGGGATTCAGCAATTTCATATTATTAAATAACCTAAAACTCTGTAAAATGTAACTATTAACACCACCCTAGAGAGTTCACTTATGATTCTCTTAATTACTTCTCATTTCTCTTATTTTTTTTACCATAGATTTTCTAGAATTGTATTTGAATAGTATACCATATATATTCTTTTATGTCTAATTTTTTCACTAAGTATACTATTTTTATATTAATACATGTCTCTATTAGTAGAAAACTTATTTTATATTTATGGTTAGTATCCTACTGTGTCAATAGTCAATAGCTATATAAAGTTTGGCACTTAACACAATTCCCAAATATCATCAATTTTGTAGAACCACTGGCCTCATGCTATAATTGGTCATCATCATAATCAAATTAACATCTTGATTTCTCATCTAAATCAACGAAGTAACCATTGTCAGCTCAACAGGATTCATTATCATCAAGAGACCATTTGCTCTAGCTTTTTAGTAATATTTTATCTATTGAGAAGTCCACTGAGATGTGTAGCCTAATCAATAAAAAAAAAGAAGAGCTTTTACAATTTATTGCACAGTAACATCTGTCCCCAGGATGCAGGACAATTGGAAACTTTAATGAATTAATAACTAAAAACACCAGATATAAATGGCAATGAGGCAAAGATGCTAATATAAACAGTTAAAAACTGAGTGATGGTGTATCTTTTCTCAATGGAGATGTTCAGGAGAGATATGCAAACTACCTATGCTGATTTTATTCTGAAATCCCTGAGCAAAAATATCATGAGACATACAAAGAATAGGTTTTCAAAAAGGAAAAACAGTAGCTAGAGATCTTGTAGCTATAATCTGCAGTATGGATAAAAGGTCAAGGATGCTGATCTTTGTATTTGTCTTTTTCCATTATTAGATCTGATTTGCTGTGTTGTCTTGGATGTGACAATCTGGTGGTGATTATCATAGTAATTCACTACTAGTACAGACATTTTGTGAGAGGTTAAGCAACTAGACTCATTCCATACTTGATCACCATTATAATCACACCAACTACCTCATTTCTCCTTCAAGCCAACAGAAGGACCATTAATCTTCTCCACAAGATCCACTGTTATCAAGAACTCATTTGCTTTTAGTAATATTTTATCTCTTGAGAAGAGGATTAAGCCATGGAGTCTGTGTCAATCCCTTCACTAGTTACTGGCCTTATTGATTGCGTAGCCCAGTTAATAAGAATAGCGGAGGAGCTGTTGCATTTTATCTCACAGGAACAAGCTGCTTTGGCACAACAGAATGGTATGGTGGAGGAGGCAGCAGCAGTTGTGCCTCCTCCTGAGGAAGATTCCTTGCCGGATCTTGCTGATCTTTCCGATTTAGAATCAATACTTTCAGTGAAAGGAGACGAAGACCTAATCCTTGATATGGATGAAGCTATGATAGATGTGAATGACATCTATGAGGAGATACTCCCCGCAATAAAGGATGATACAGAAAGTGAGTAAGATTCAGCATGGGAAGATCATCATTTTTCTATTTCAAATACGTTGTTTTTTCTAGGCTTTAGCAATAAGTGTTTTCTTCTAGTTCTGCATAGTTTCATTATTAAAAACACATAGAATAGGTAAGCCTTGATTTCTTTTTGGCAAAACCATTTTGTTTCTAAGTTTTAATTCAAAGGCTGACTTGAGTTATGTAGTTCTTCCTTTCCTTGTACTATTAGGATTCTTCATAAGATCAAATAATAGCAAAGAAAAGAATCTTCCTAAGAATAGAATGAAGAACTGATGAACTCTGCCACATACAAACACCAATGTCACATTCTGGCATAAGTGGAAATTCTAAGGGTAGTATTCTCTGGCAGGGTATTACAGTGACTATTTTCACATGGACAGTACAATGTTGAGACATTGCATATTAAAGAGAGAGATTTCTATGGCAGAGTAAGACAAATAATTCTGAAAGTGCCACATCTACCAGACAATAAAAGTATGGAATGGTTTTCCAGATTTACTGGGGACAAACCTTTGAGAATTCTGGGGCCAAGATACTCCAATGAAAGACTGCTTCCACAAATGCTGATGCATACTGGAACTCTTTGCAATATTGTTCTCTGAGGAAACTGAAGCTTGTACCAGAAATGAAAGAAAGAAGTTCTAGAACGGCAAGACAAGGCCCACAACAGAAAGTCAAAATCTTATGTCATGGCCTGGAGGTTATGGTCTACAAGGGGAAGTGGACAGTGCATATCTTCTTGTGTCTAACTGAGTTTAAGACAGATAGAAAGCTTATTGTAGTAGGATGGCTACAATATTAACCTAGCAATATTTGTTATTAAGAGGTAAAATATACAAGATGTGGACTTGTATTGAGACACAGTAATCTTCTATGTGTCAGAAGGGTAAAACACAATAGTTTAAGGACCCTCATGCCGAAACAGAGAGCAACTGAGTAAATATGCAAGAAATTCACTGATTATACTAACCTATGGCATACAATCCTTTTACTTCCATGGACATACAGTATGGGCTTCTTACCAATTTATGTAGAGTCCTAAAGCATGTCATAGTTAAAGAGATTAATAGGACATTTAGTACAGATGATTTCAGAACTAACATGACAGATGCGCAGCAAACATACAAGTAGAATAAATGAAAATTATGTTAAAATGCAGTTACCAGGGTTAGTTACATATTATAGTAGGCAGTATAGTGTAAACCTATTGCTACAATACCTTTTTTAAATAAAAAAATTGAATCTTATCTTCCCAATATAAAAAAGATTCTAGGTACGCAAGTACAGCCAAAGAAGCAAATAGGTGATGCACTGAAAAATTAACCTAGACAGATTGGAGAAAGGATGAAGAAATAGTGTAATTTTCTATGCCAGGAGGAAACGTTAATGAATAATTCTAATAATTAGTGAAACAGTTAAGATTCTTTTCACATTTAATAAAATATTTACAAATAATGATAAAAAGAATTGTAGGAAAGTTAGAAAACATAATCTACACTTTAAATAAGGGGCTAGGGACAACTAGGGGAAATATATATTGCCATCAAGAAATTTGCATCTGTAGGATATGGGGTATATTTTCTGTCAAAATAAAACTCAAATCATAAATAACTGAACAAACTCTGGAAACATCCAGAGAGAGGCCATCAGTCTACTATAAATTTTATTTGGTGAGTAATTTACCTGAGAAAGAGCAAACTTGTTGCTCTACAAACATCGTAGACACACTAAAGGGTAGATAGCAATCCAAGTAGAACCCTAGAGTATGGACTAACAATTCGCAATTGATTAATAAAGCACCAATCAACTCAAGCAGGCTATAACAAGAGAAACCTGTAAGGCTACTCTAGACTTTGCAGTAAGACAAAGCCTTATACAAGACTGAACAATAATGAATGGACAGTGTGATTCTTAGATGTCAGAACAAGGAGATGCTGCAAGCTCATAATATGTGGATCTGTTTAGCCCCTTGTTTACCTGTAACACCTGGAAAGATGGAAATACAATGACACCTAAGAACTAAATACGTATTTCAGTATTTGCCTTGATTGTATAATCATATACATTTAGGAACCATTAAGATGTAACTCTATTTCAAGAAATGGACTGTTGTATCAAGTACGTTTGCTATATGGGACAGTATTAGAAACAGAGAGGTGATAAGGAGCAAGGTTAGCAGAAAAAAATATTTAAGAACAAGATCTAGTGGGGAAGGTATTTTCAGTACAGAGAACATTTTAAATTGCCAAGAGTTACACAGTTGTTTGAGATGGGGTTACTTCCTGAGTTTTTAGTTTATCTGTGCCTTATGAAAATTAGCCAACCCTAAGATAGTGCTAGAAGCAGCTAGACAGTAGGTGATATAGATTAAGTAGATAGTTACATTAAAAGGAGAAATACTAATAATATGCTTGTTGGATGCCTCCTATTGAGATGTTGAATCTCCTCCATGAGAGTGGAGTGAGTGGCTGGTCCATTATCCAAGTAGCTTTGTTTTGGATCTTTTTGAGGTTAATGCCCAAATGAGATTTTGTATGGCATAGAGAAATGGAAAGGGAGCAAGGCTATATATTTTGGGACAAATTTAAAGGTGTTAAAATCAAGAGAGATAGGCTGGTAGATGGCACTGAAGTAGACAGTACAAATCTCAATGCTTTAGCTAAAGTAGGAAAGCTGCTGAAACTATATGCCTGCATCCTTATATGTAATGATTTTTTCAAGTTATTATTGTTATAATTGCTTCTGATCTCTATTGACTATTTTTCCAAACTGCTTGCTTTTAACTAATAAACTTTGATTTATAAACCAAAGAACTTGTAGTCTCCTTAAATTACCTAGTAGTAAATTTCTAGGCTACCAAACTGCCATAAAAGGACTTTGTTAAGCAGAAGGCCATGGACTATAATCAATGAGAATGTTGTACCAAGAGCCTGACTGTCTACTTCTGACTTGTCACGTGATCTCTGAGAAGTGAATGAACATGGTGCTTCATCATTTGTAAAATGAAGATTACATTTTTTTCTGCTTACTTTTAATGATAAAAAGGAACAAATGAAAAAATACAGTTTTTAAAGTGTTTGATGTAACTGACAATGGACTAGAATACATGAAATTGTGACATTTCATAAGTCATTCCATACCAACAAATGTCAATATGAAAATACCTGGAGATTTAATTGACATGTAAGGACAATCCAACAGTTTGCACCTGTTACTAAGAGACAAATGTTTCCTCATTCTACTATTTTATGTAAAAAATTATAATTTGGAATTGGCTTTTGTTTAATTCTTTGAAGCACAGTTTTTCACCAAATTAAATTCTTTTGAAGAGCCTATTTGAATCCTAGTAGGAATAATTATGAGAAAAAGCTGCAGTGAAAAAGCCCTTTAGGGAATAATGAATTATCTTCCACTTTATGCTAAGATTTTGTTCCTGAGGGCAATACTGTACTGGTTTCTTTTCTTTTTGCTGTTTCAAAATACATGGCAGAAACATCTTAAGGGATGAAAGGTTTCTATTGGCTCATGGCTCATGGTTTCAGAGGGTTGCAGTTAACCATAATAAGGAAGGCATGATGATAGGAGCAGCTCTGTTTATGGTGTTGGGTGCTCAAATTCCTGGGGACCAAGAAGCAGTGACATGACCAGGATAAGTGGTAAGTAGAACCTCCTAAGGCCTGCTCCTAGTGACAATTAACACTAAGCCCTATTGCCTAAAGGCTCTACAACACTTCAAATAATGTCATGAGCTGGGGACAAAGCACTCAAAACATGATCCTGTGGGGGGAATATATCACCTTCAAGTCATAACATCTGTCTCTGTCTCTCATAGTCTCATGGCCATTTGATAATGCAAAATGCATTAACTCCAAGAGTCCTCATAGTTTTAACAGTTTTAACGATGTTCAAAACATCAAGTTCAGAATCTGCTCTCATATTCAAGATAGTCTTCTAACTATGATCCAATATCAAATAAAATAAAAAAAAATACAGAAGTCCACACTTAAACCCAAAGCCACCGAATGATCATTTCTTAAAAGGAGAAATGTGGACATACCAAGTACAGATCGGAACTGCATTTACAGACATGTACCACCATGCCCAGCTGACTGTTACCTAGTTTTTCCTTTATCTCATTCTTATGTAGAGTCTGTTGCTCTTTGAATACCTTTGGCCTGTGAGATTTTTGCCCATTCTTTCACTAGCCTTCTTTGGGGGTCTTAAGGTTATTAGTAAAGTTATCTTTTAAAAATGTCTCCAAATTGTTTATTGGCTCTCAACACGTGACTCTCAGATTGAATTTCTTCCATCAGATCATGGGATAGGACCCACTTAAATTAATAATTAGGCTGGGGAGGTGGCTCAGTATGTAGGAGCACTTGCTTGTAAGTATGAGGAGCTGAGTGCAAATCTCACAAACACTGGGTATGGTTGTACATGTCTGTAACCACAGTGCTGTGTGTAGAGGGGAGGATATGATAAGTAGGATGATTATCAGAGTTTCTTGGTCACCCACCTAACTTGAAGTTCAGTGGAAGACCCTGTCTCAAGAGTATAAAGCAGACAGTGATGGAGTAGAACACCTATTGTCCTTCTCTGCCACTCGGGCATATGAATGAATGGCTACACCTATAAATACATGTGTATACATCATATATCACAGTTGGGTATACACAAACTCAGAGAGTTATGTGCACACATAAAAATACTACTAAATGTGTAGAAGGGGAAAGGAAGGAACACAAGGGACAAAATAAAAATGAGGTCTAGGCTGGGCAGTGGTAGCACACCCTTTAATCTCAGAACTCAGGAGGCAGAGGCAAGAGGATCTCTGTGGGTTCAAGGCCAGCCTGGGCTACTGAGTGAGTTCCAAGACAAGCCAAGGCTACACAGAGAAAGCCTGTCTCAAAAATGCCCCTCCCCCCAAAATACAACAACAAAACAAGACAAAACAAAAAAGGAACTGCTGAAACTACTGAGCCAGAAGTGGTAGAACGTGTCTGTAAACTTAGTACTTGGGAAGAGGATCAGGTGTCCAAAGAGCTTCCTTCATGAGACCCTGTCTCAAACACTGCAAATGCGTGCTTATATGTGCATGCACACACCACCACCACCACCACAACTAAGGAAAAGAAAATGAATATAAGAATAATAAACCGAAAATCAATACATCTTTTTCTTTAGCTTATTAAGACACATAAACCATATGTCTTTAAGGAATTTTTTTTAAAGTTTTTGAAAGATTTATTTTATGTGTATGGGTGCTTTGCCTGTATATATGAATATGTACCACATGTGTGTTTCGTGTCCACAGAGGTCAGAATCATTAGATCTTCTGGAACTGGAGGTACAGACGGTTGTGAGCTACCACATGGGCACTGGGAACCAAACCTGGGTCCTCTGTAAGAGCAACAAGTGCTCTTAATCATTGAGCCATTTCTCTAGTCCCATTTCCAAGGAATTTAGGAGATTTTGTTTACCATGAAAATGCTAAATTCACTTTCCATAGGTAATACAGTAAAGATAAAGTTAGGCTTCATTTACTTATTTATGTCCAAACTAGAAATTAGCTGTACTGTTTCATAATATCCTACATGAAGGGAGATTTTAATGGTTAAATAATCGGTGATCAAGTGTATTCACATTATAATATAAATTTTGAATATCATTATCTTGACAAATTTTGTCTCCAAACACACTAAATTTAAACTTGTAAAACATCTCCAAACAAGGAGGATCACTATTTATCCTCTGTATTCCAAACACCAAGAACAGTACTTGACAAGTATTTGTTGAATGATAAAATGCTTTCCTTGCAAAGAATAAGGTGACTACTTTTTTGGTCACAAAGGAAATACACAGGAGCTGTCTGCAGATGAATGGGCCTAAGTGTTCTTAAGGCTTATCCAACCACATATGTTTGAAGTCTTAAGTGGTAGAAAAATACTGAGGCTTGCTTTGATGCTGTGGACACTGAGAGCGTTAAGCTTCCCCGGGATTCAGAGATGATCTCAGCTTACCTCTTTCTGGTGATATTTGATTGCCACCTTCAGCTTGGCCAGGTCGTGGTACTTCTGTGGGTCAAGTTCTTCACTGTGGTCGTCTCGATGGTTGAGGATGATCTCCAGTTCTCGGGAGCTCCGAGCTTGGTCCAGCAGGTCCTTGGCAAAGAGCTTACATTGTTGGGAGAGCTCCTCATACTCAGCCTTAAACTCATTTTCCACCTTGCTTAGCTCCTTGAGTTCCCAGCCCAGCCGGAAGGCAGTGAGGATGGGGTCCTCGCTTGATAAGGCAATGAGTGAGGGGCTTGCCAGAGCTTTGTAGATGTTCAGTCGGGACCTTGAATGACGCAGGCTGTCTACCTCTGAACTGGACACACACTCTACGCAGTTGCAGCGGATTTGGTGGGGCCGTGGGATAGTGACCCGCTTTTGGACAAGCAATTTGATGATTTCATAGTTGTTGGTGTGGGCGGCCAACATAATGGGAGTGATATCTGGTGTGAACTCAGAGAACTGGGTGTCCATCATCAGGGTGGGAACCTACACAAGAAATGAGAAGCACAGAGGGGCAGGGTTATAGTTAGGAGCACAAAGGAGCATCCATTGTTAATTCAGAAACTGAAATTTCCATTCTCTTGTGACTTCTCACCCAAACAGGTAATGTTTGTGGGCTGCTGTGTGGCACTTCCCCAAGCACTTTACTTGTATGTACTTATTTAATATTCACAACAACCCTAGTTGGTAAAGTTGGTAAATACTCTTCCCATGGGAAGAAGCTGTGAGAGGCTAGTGGACACACCTGGTTAATGGACACACCTAAGAGTATGCAGTTTTCAGTAGTAGAAGCAAAATTCTGCCCAGGTAGTGCAACTGTGGAACTCAGCAATTAAAATTATCTTACCATTATATGTCTAGTTCTGTCTAACAGAATAAGGGAAACAAAGAAGTAGATGATGTTGTTCTTGGCCTTCTGGCTGAGTTGCACAGATCATAAAGTCCCTAACAGTTCATGGTGGTATATGTTTAGCTTTAATTGAGCTGTTGAGACTGCTGGAATATTGGCTTGAAAGGCCAAAGACAAGCAATCACTTTGAAGACCATGCAACTAAATAAAGTCATAATGACAAAGAAAAGACTCTTCCAAATGTTATTGACTTTGTATGCATACAGGACTTTAGCAGACTAAAGGGCAGACCTGATTAATGCAATTTCTTCTAAGTCCAGGAAGGTAGAAAAAAGTTAGGTATTGTCAGGGAGAAGTAATATTGTAAATGAGGAAGTCCAAGCTTGGGGCAGCATTGCTAATGACAAGGAGGTATTTGATAAAACTGCTGTGTCTAGGATATGATGTATTGTGGAAATGATATCTATAGCTAGAATGTGCAGAGTTCATTATGTATTCAGGAGCACACCTGGAGAAAAGCATAGAACCTGATCAATGAATTAAAGCAGTCTTCCAACTTGAAAATAAATCTTTGGGGACTTAGTCTGTTTTCAGTCCAATAAAGAAAGCGAGAGGGTCTGGGGTCACAGTTGAGTTAGTAGAGTGTTTGTCTAGCATGCACAAGACTTTGGTTTCAATTCCAAGAACCATATAAACTAGACAGGGTTGTGCACACCTGTAATCTTAGCACCTTGGAGGTGGGAAGGCAGGAACATCAGAAGTTCAAGGATATTCTTGGTTCTCTCTCTCTCTTTCCCTATCTATCTATCTATCTATCTATCTATCTATCTATCTATCTATCTATCTCAAGGACACTAGGGATACAGGAGATTCTGTCTCAAAAATGAAAATAAAACAGAAAACTAGGGAGCTCACTAAACTCACATGAAACCTATAAGATGGAGGAGGACAGGGACAGTGAGGGGAAGGGTTTTGGAAGGGAAATCTGTGTGAAGCATGGGTAGCATCCCAGCAGATGGGGAAAATATTGATCTTATTTTATTTGAGGAAAAGAAGAGCACAGTGTCAAAGCTCATTTTTCAATGGGCAGAAAAGAACAGGGACAGTTGGGAGTCTCATAAAATAGAAAAAATATTGTTTTAATCAATACTTTCTTTTTATTTTTTAAAGACAACAACAATAACAATCTGCAGTTACTGGAGACCTTACAAAAGCACGAGTTACTGGTTTTCATCATTTTTACCTCCTTTTAAAAAAATCTCACCTTGTATAAGGGATTTCTAACACAGGGACGTGGCCAGAAAAAGGGGAGAGGGAGGAAAGCTAAGGGGAACAGACAGCAAGAAATCTGCTTTCCTCACTGAGGACCTTCATTGGCCTATGAAGGCTGTCAGTCATCAATTGCTAGGCTAGAGAAGAGAGTAAACATTGTGAAACACTGGGAAAGAGAAGCTACAAACAAAACAGTGGAAAGTGAACAACTTGACTCATAAAATAAATTGGACATAGCAAAGAACCATCTCAGAAATTAACATAAGCCTACAGGCTTAGGAAGAAATAGGTCTGAGTGGGCCTGGAAATGAACATAAACACAACTGGCATAAAGCCGTGGAGTGGGGAGAGATGGCAAGTGAGCAACTTGTCATAGTCTGCCCAGGAAGAAGGGAGCTCAGATCCGGAAAATCTGTCCTCTCCCTAGGTAGGGACATTTTCCCATCTTTGTCATTCTCTAAAATGGTGAGGAGAAGGTGGAGTGGGTGTCAACCTGTTGGACAGTTTTCTCTGGGTGAGGGTGGAGGTACGGTCTGCTTTGTAACATGCTGCTCAGCTTGTCCTCACACCCACTCCTTCCTCGCTCTTTATACTTTTCAGCCTCCTTTCCTTTCCTTTTCTTCTTTTCAGTGCTGACAGGCCTGTCCAAGACCCACAGAAGTACACAAGATTGTTGTTTAACCCTACTTATGTCATGGAGCTGATAGGAGACTGTATGCTTGAAATAGGAAAAGCTCTCTGGAGCTATTTGATTCCCATAAGGAGTATTCTGACACTCCACTTGGTTTTTTGGTTACTTGAGCCCAGAGAGGAAAACTTTTCCAAAGAGTGTAGTCTTCAGTGACCACGTCTTCCCCCAACTGCCTATTCAAATATTGTAGGCTCTAGGTTTCATCTGAGATAGCTACTTTTCTGATGCTCCTTTACATTGTTCTCTATCTCACAATATGCTTCTTTGCAGCCTTGTGAGAATTAGTGTTAATTGTCAACTTGATGGAATCTAGGATCAACTGGGAGGTGGGCCCCTGGGCATGACAAAATAATAAATCATCTAATAAAAATGGACAAATTAGCTGAACAGACAGCTCTCAGAAGAAGTACAAAAGAGCACTGCACAAGTGGCCCAGTGGTCAACACAACTTGCCATTCAATCATGAGGGCTAGCGTTCAGGTCCTAACATTCATGTTGGGTGACTCACAACCACCCGTAACTCCAGCTACAAAGATTCAGTGCCATTTTTTGGCCTCTGTGGGTGTACACACACATGTGCATATACACTCACACAAGACACATATACTCAGACACATACACACACAAAAAAAATAAAATTTACAGAAAATAAGTACAAAGGAGCCAGTGAACACATAGAAAGTTCAAAATGTTTAGCCATCAAGGACATGCAAACCAACACTACTTTGAGATGGTGGGTATAGTGACACATACTTCTAATTCCAGCACTTTGGAGATAGAGGCAGGGGAATCATGCGTTCAGGGTCAACCTGGGATACAAAGACTCTTGAAATATCTACCTTCTCAACTGGGATTGGAGAAAAGGCCTGAAAGAAATGAACTTGTTTGTATCCAAGTTGTGGAAGTCAGGTTTGCAAACAAAAGAGTTCAAGTCTTAATTTTAGAATAGGCTATTTTAATTCCTTTTTGCTAAAGACTGCTGTGTGTCTAGCACTGTGCTCTGTGCTGTTGGGCAACAGAGCAGACTAGGGAAAATCTTCCATACTTACTGAGGAGTGTTAGTTCCTTTTTTGTTGCTGTGACAAAATACAACAACTTAAGGAAGGAAGGGTTTGTTTTAGCTCACAGCTTAGGCACAAGCCATCATTATCATCATTATAGGGCAGCCAAAGCAGGAAGAGCCTGAAGCAGTTGGTCACATGATATCTTTAGTAAGAAGACACTATTAAATGCATGCTGGTGTTCACTACCCTTGGTCTAAGTATATACTCCAGGATCCCTGCCAGGGAATGACACCACTATGAGTGGACATGTCATCCCACATCAGTTAAATAACATCATCAAGATAATCCTCCATAGTCATGCCCAGAGGCCCATCTCCCAGTTGACCCGCTCATTGGAAGTGGCACAATTTCATATGTAGAAGATTCTGAACTGCATAAAAGCAGAGAGCATGCTGAGTACTCTTAAGCATGCATGCACCTATTGCTGTCTCGATCTCTGCTCTTGACTGTGGATGTGATGCAACTTTTCCATGTCCGTACTCCTTGCTTTCTCGACACTTATGAACTGACTGTAACCTGGAATTGTGAAGTAAAAAATCTCTCCTTCCCTAAGTTGATTTTGTTTTCTCAGAGCATTTTATCATAATAAATTGAAATCAAAGAATGAAAGAAATCAGCCTCTGTGAGCTCCTCCACTCCCCCAAGCCCAATGGTTTACCCCAAGAACTCTGCCCAGCCCTACTTTTCAGAGCAGATAAGGAATGAGGGAGGAAAAGTGCAAATCACCATTGTCACCCTCCTCCACTCAAAATCCCAACCGTTGGGGTTTTGCATTAGGGCATCATCTTTATTTTATTAGTGTCTGAATTGACATATCCATACCTGTGCCATAGTGTGTAATAAAAGACTTCACTCTGGATTCGTAGCCTGATATTTTTGGTGAATACACCAGTTAAGAAGCACAAATGTGTCTGTGAAAGGAATGGGATGAAGCTGCAACATGATCATTTTGACTGGGAGCAGGGACCAGGGAGGGTGAGACATTCCAAATAAAGGAAAGTAGGGACTTGTGAATAGTTCAAGGTGCCTGAGGTGATGAGCAGATGGGGTCCAGAACAAAGGATGATCAATGTGTATTTTTAACTTGATCAAGCTGGAAAGTCTAGGAATTTAGTAAAGCACATCTTTGGATATCTATGATGGTGTTTCCAGAGATGGCTAGGGCTCTGAAATATTAAAGAATTAGTCCTTCGATGGATTCATAATATGAGGACATTATTGAGAGATGGTGAAATATGGGGTGGGACCTAGTTTGAGGTAAGTAGGTGGGGAAGAACATTTCTTAGGGACTATGTCTTGCTCTGTCCCCTTTCTGTAAGCCCTTGATCTGATTCCTGGCTGACATGAAGCGAACAACTGTGTTCCACCACACCCCATGCCCCGGCCTTGAACTGAGTTTTCTGAAACTGTGAGCCCTAATAAATCCTGCCTCACTTATGTTATTTGTGTCTGGTATTTTGTAACATGGTTAAAAATATAACTAAAACAGCTGGGTGCAGTATAAATAGAGATTGTGTATATGTGTACTGCTTATGTAGGAACATATGAAGTTTTCAGCAAATGTGGTCTCTGTAACTATCACAACAGATACAAGTATACCAATGAAAAC